TTATTAATAATAAAGTGAAATATAAGTATATATTTGGTTCTTCTATTACATACTGTAATACAATATGCATGTATTTATAAATATAAACTTCAGAGAAAAATAAGGAACGATTGAGTACAAGCACTCTCCCTCCCCTAGACAAGTAGAATTGTCTGTGTTTATAGACAGAATTAAAAGGTAGGGCGTGTTAGGGCACAATACATCTCAATCGGTTAACTAATATGGCAAATAGTCTGATATTAATCCATTGCTATACTGTTTTATTTAATGATATTTCTGTCTGTCGTTATAGGTCCCACCACAAATGCCTCAACAATACAACCTAATACCTCAACTCAATCTAATACAACTATCAGTATGACTATAGCCACCACCTTCTCAGGTATTATTACAATCTATTTCAACTTATTTTTGCTTGAAATGTGTCAAATGTTGTACTGATACTTAGAGTCTTTACCTCCGCTACCCCCCCCCCCCAAAAAAAAAACCTATTTGCCTCATTGGGTTTTGGGGAGAGGCAGGGGTGAGTATCAGTTTGGCTGTTGCAAAGTTTAAAAGTTCATAATGACATCTACATCCATGATATGTATCACTCATCTGCATATTTATCATACATACATCTAAGAAAGCCAGAATTAATATAATCACAAAGAAACAGGCCAATGTTTGTTTTTTGAGAGGTGTGGTTCTTTAGGAAAGATATTCATCAAACAGGAACTCAGGAAGTTAAGATCCTTGTATTTTTAGAAGATATTTTATTTAACAAATATAAAACATTTTCCTTGTTGATATAACTATATATCAATATGGAAAAAATGTTTTATATTTTTTTTATAATATAGCAATGTCAAAAGCCCGAAGGATAAGAAAAATTTCCGTGTTTACAAGCGGCAGAAAATTTCCCGTGTTGACATTGAGTTATATCAACACGGCTCTTAGCCAATCAGCGTTCAGAATTTACAAATGCTATATTATAAATAAATATGTAATATGGGCAGGTATAAAACTAGTACATAACTTAGTATAATGTTTACAGTCAATTGCCAAAATGTTTGCAACTTTGTTCAAAAGTTCATGTTGAAATTCACAAGTTGATGTGTATATATATACAAAGCCTCTGATTGTCCAGGAATTAAAAGAAATTGAATGCTCAGTTTATAAACTGGTTTGTGCATATTGTTATGAACTTCGCAAAAAAATTTACAAACTTCAGAACAAAATTAGGTTATTGCAGAAAACACCTTTCCTCTAGACATTTAGATACTCAGTACATTATATTATTGAAAGTTGATTTCCTCAACTGATTTTTCTGGAATGACATATTTCTAGTTCTGAAACATCATCAACTTGAACCGACTTGACCACGTAGCTCAGTTGGCAGAGCATTGGACTAGTATCCAAAAGGTCACGGGTTCGATTCCCACCGTGGCCAAGCAAACGTTTCAGCTTGCCTGATGTGGATGTATACTCAGAGTAACATCACAAACATCATATTCACCTGAGTACATGACACCAAGACATATTTCTAGTTATAATGTTGTTTCCATGTATCTGATATGTGGCTTAATGTGTAATATTCTAGCTTCTACATCTGAATCAACAACAACACCAACTCCAAGAAGAACGTCTTCAAGTATGTTAATGTGTGTATTGTTATCTCATTCAGTGGCAGTACTCTCCCTTTGACAAGGAAAATCATCTGTAGTTAGAGAGTATAAAGTGATAAATTAAAGTGTATCAGGGCACATTGCCACTTAAAAAGTTAATGGGATGCATGGGTAGATAGTTTAGTTAAGTAAACCTAAGGCGTAAAAATAAATACCTGTGGTTCCGGTTTCATATCGTGAAAAAATTAGGGTCGGTAGGTCAGAAATAATTTTTTTTAAATTTTTTTTTCATGGTTTTGGCATTTTCTTTGCTGGGCGATTTGCAGTAGAGTCCCGACATCAATATTAACTAGAGATGCGTATTTCCTATCGACAAATTTAGGCAATTTGGCTCAATAATTAGTGTAAGTTGACACCAGACGCCATTTTGGCACGCTGTATGAGCAACCCGCAACCACCTGGAGAAAATAGTCAATCGCTTTGAAAAAATAATAGGGTCGTCAGAAAAAAATAGGGTCGGGAACCGGAACCACAGGTTGTTTTTTTTATGCCTAATGGCAGCACTCTCCTGTTGTTCAGTGAAATTATCTGGTGTTATACAAAGTAGAGCACATTGACACTTAAAACAGTTAACATTTATGTTGCAAACAGGTTAACAGCCAATAGTATTAATAAATTAACCCATTGAGCTACAGTGTGCCCTACTGGGTTTTTTTACTTGTCTAACACCAGCCGATTTTACTTGTCAATGGGGAAGCTTTGCAGCTTAAATATGAGTTAAAACAATCATATTAGATTATTCCAGAAAAAATGGCCACACCTTCCACACAGAAGAAATGAGAGGTTAATCCTATTCCCACGTTACATTTTATTGTTATTGAAAGTAGATTTCCTACTCCTGAGTTTTCTGGCTGGAATGGCCTATTTCTGGTTATTATCTTGTTTCATGCATCTGACATGTGTCTTAATTAATGTGTGATATTGTAGCTTCTAAGGTGCCTGAATCAACAACGTCAAGAACAACACCTTCAAAGGGTATGTGTATATGTTCAAATACTGTTTGTTGAGTGTATTGATGGGGTATATTGTAATTCATGATTGCTCAATTTCGGTTACTGTCAGTCGTGAAAACACTACAAATTTTACCGTGAAGCATGAGGGAAAGAATTCCTTTTATCATTTCAGAACACTAGTTCAAAGATTTACCATGACGAGTAAAATATCGTCTGGCGTTAGACAAGTAAAAAAAATAAGTAGGGCACGTTGCGGCTCATAGGGTTTACTAGAGACATTGTCAGATGTTTTGGTTAACCCATTAAGCTGCAGAGCTTCCCCATCGACGACTAAAATATCTGGCGTTAGACAAGTAAAAAAAAAAGTAGGGCGCACTGGGGCGCATTGCGGCTCAATGGGTTAAAGTACCAAAATTTTTACCATTAAACTACCAAAATTTTGTACCGGTATCGTTTACTGATTTTCCGACCCCCCTCCCCCAATCCAGACCCTCTTTGATAGCACATATCAAGGGAAAAAAGCTAAGTTTGACTTAGTATAGTCCCATGCCCTCCCTCTCTATTTTACTATTTAATATTACTGCCTGGGTTAGGTATGGCTACTATGCTTTCATGTTAGGTGGTGCAGTAAAATTGTCTGGGATTAGACAGATTTAAATAGTAGAGTAGGGCACATTAAGGTACAATGTAACTTTTTGGGTTAACCAATACTCCTTCTATAGTCAGTCACAGCACTCACCATCAGGGTCTGAAATTTGCAGTATCCCGATATCCACAGGATACTAAAATTTCGTTTTGGATACCAAACTGTGAATGACTTATATCCCAACTGGATACTAAGAAAATTTCAAACATTAGGAAAATTTTAAGCACCTCTGACAGTTTCCTGATAGCTTTTGAATACTGTGAGTTTGCCACCCAAGCCTTAATTTCCTCATATATTATGTGCTGTTTTATTGTAATTTGTAACAGCGAGAGTTATTGGATGCCGGGCAGGGTAATAATACTTATGGTAACCAGTATCCAGAAGTGGGATACTGCATTCTCAGGGGGGATACTAAACTTTGAATCCTGGTATCTCAGTTGGATACTGAAAAGATATTTAAATTCCAGACCATGATGATGATGATGAGAATCCTCTTGTTGTCGCCCTGGCTGTTTTTGCAGCCATTGCTGGCATAGTTGCCATTTTGTTTTTATGTTTATTTTTGAGGTATGTTATGGCAATATATGTATTAATTTTGTTTTATTCTGGTATCATGTACTTTCAAATTTTCGTATATATTTTCCTGCATTGTGAAGGCCCTTGAAGAAAAAAGTAAAAGTCTATTAAAATACTGATTTCAGTATGCTTGACAATTTCATTCATTGGGAGAGAGCTTTATGTTAGAACAAAATTCGGTAGATTCTATGAGTAGATGTCTGCTGGACAATCCCCCCCCCACCTCATTTTTTTATTGGATCTGAAAATACACTTGTTTTTTTTTTTGACAGGACATCAACTTCATGTTATAATCGCTTACATCGTTCTCGTAGTATTGAGTCTCCAGATGCTTTTGAAATTGCCAACGTCCGAACTACGTCATCCGTACCTTTCAGGACTAGACTGGCGAGTTTGTCCAGTATAAGGAGGCAAGGTGAGGTGATGGCTCATTGTGTAGATCTAGCCTGTGTAGCATAGCACTTGGTTTTGTGTGGAGAAGGAAGGACCCACCTTAATTCTCCTGCCTACAAGCCCCTTCCCCCAAAAAATCCAGCTGCTGGGCAGGCTAGTGCAGATCCAATTACTGGGGAATGGAAGTGTACAACCCCTCATGAAGCTGAATTTCGTTTCTCAAATTTCAAACCTGCTTGATGTTTCCTGCTGGGAAAGTGAAATTTCTGAGTGTTCTCCAACATTGCTGATGTGTTTCACTTGCAAGCTGTGCAGCCATGCTGATAAGTGCCATATTCTTGTTTCTTACTTTCTTATTCCAAGCAAAAACAATGGGTCCCCTGGAGTAGAAATACAAATTATTATAACTTTCCCTAAACTGTGGCTGATACGTGTCTTTTCATCTTTTTAGTAATCTGTAAAAGCGAACCTTTTTCCATCATGGAATTTCGTGATCACGTCAGACATTTACATGCTGATTCTGACTATCTTTTCTCGTTGGAATATGAGGTATGAAGTAAAAGCCAGCTTGGATCAAACATGCAAGTTCTAATCAGTTCTAAATTTTTCTCTCTAGAGATCCAGCAAGGGTCATCTCTTACTCATCCAGTGTTATGCTCTGGTCAAACGAGAGTGCGAGTTGATGAGAGTTGAGAAGCGAGAGTTTGCATGAAAGTTTTCTCAACTCTCGTCTAGGACAAACAAGAGCAAGAGTTGCATGAGAGTTGACTGGATATTACTCTACCTCTTTCATCAAAATATGAATTAGCTTGAAGTTGATAAGAGTTGAGAAGAATGCATGAGAGTTGATGACAGTTTGCTGTCAAGTTGCGCAAGTGAGAGTTGAGCAACTGTCGTCAATTCTCATCCTCGTTTGACCAGGGCTTTACGACACGAGAAAACCAGAGCACTCAGAAAATAGTTGTGAGGTTTGGTAACTGTCAAATTGGAAGCTTGCACTCTTCTTGTATTTGACTGAGATGATAACAGCATATTGAACCGCAGTTATACGAAGGTGCTTTACATGTGCAGAAACCACTTTCTCTTGATTTTTTAAGAATTCCGTGAAACATTTTTGCACCTCTCATACTGTAGTTTAGTTGTGATCAAACAAGAGGAATGTTTTTGATTTCATTCTCTCACACAGGCAGTTGGTGGAAAGAAGCACTTGAATGATGTTGATAAGAAACAAGACCTGACAACACATGAGGGCAAGAAAGTGAATAACAAAGCTAAGAATCGTTATGCTGATATTTTACCATGTAAGAAACACTGCTAGTTCCACACTATTTCATGCCTGTAGATGAATCTATACTGGCATAGCCTTCAGGCTTAGGTACCTAGCTTCACTGGTAGACTTGTTAGCCAGAAACTCCAGGCTTTTGGAGTTATTACGCAGTAAATCCAGGCTTAGATAGCTAACTCCAAATGATTTTTCTAGTTTGCTTGTCACTCCTGAATTCTAAGATTTTAAGTTTGGAATTTAGAGTTAGCCCCTTATACTAAGGTGGTAACTAAGGGGTGGACCAAGGTGTTTTCCTTTGCGGTAATTTTTTCTGCCCCCCTCCCCACCGCACGTTTCTAATGCCCCCTAACTTTCAGCCATGCAACCTTTTTTAGTCTTTCGTAAGTATTAAATGTGTTTTTTTTTTGAAAATTTTCAGACGATCACAGTCGAGTTGTTCTTACTGAGATCGATGAGCAACCAGATTCAGAATATATAAATGCCAATTATGTCGATGTAAGTTATAAGGGTTTTAATTCACATTTCGTAGTAATTGTTTGACATTGTTCTGTATGTTTTCTCCATGCCACCTAGCATGCGAGTGAATGCAATATTTGAGACAAAAAGCCATATTTAAGCCCGATTTCACTGTGTACAGTATGTACAATCGAAAATTTATATGTCTTTATTTCTCATTGCTTGCATAGTAAGCCATTTCTATTTGCTCTCTAATTGTGCTTGTGTCAATTTATTTCTCGTAAATAAGTAGAAGGAAGGAAATTTATTTGTTTTACTCCATTTTTCCCCTAGAGCTACCGCAAACCAAGAGCGTATATTGCTGCACAAGGTCAGTTTATTTACCTGCAGTCTGTACACAGGCTTATATTATTTACCCTTGCTCCAAAAAACCCCTAAATCTATAGGATTATATGGAGTTTTAGAAAGAAAATTAAATCCATTTTCTTCATTTGTTTCATGTGTTAGGTCCACTGCCTGTAGGTCTGGTGAATTTTTGGCGAATGGTATGGGAGAACGATTCACGTGTGATTGTCATGGTTACCAATTTATTTGAAAGAATGAAAGTATGTTTAGTGTATTTGTATGTCCTAAATCTAGACTGGTGGTCAACTTGGAAATGTTGACATTTACAGCATGGCCAGATTTTGACGGGAGGTGTGCACCTCCCCTGAGATCGTTTTACACCTCCCCTGAGAATTTTTGCACCTCTACTGAAAAGTCATGCACCTCCCCCCCTTGGGAAAGTTTCAATGATAGATCAAAGTGAAAATTTGACATTTTTGGTTGCTTAAGGTGTACACCATTGACCAGATGAGTGGTCTACACTTCGTAAGAAAGTTTTTCTGTAAAATTGAAACAGTGATAGCCATTCATCTAGTTTAGTTTAGTTTAATGAAATATGTCACATTACATTACATTGCGAATTACAAATTACAAATAAATACAGGACTTACATGCAACACCTAAACTAACAATGACACAAAGACGGAGTGACAGGAGAGGAAAACAGGACTAACGTCCCAATTGACAATCCTCCCCCTTTATATACTACAAAAATATAAAATACCTTGTGAACACAATACACAAGAGTATAGTTTACGGTGGACAATACAAAGCTAGCTTATTTCTGTAATAACGAAAAAGGAGGTTTTTGAATTCGGTAAGACTGGATGCATGTTTTTAGTGCAAAGTTTCACTTTGCACTATTGCTGTTACGTGGCAAATTGAGACGAGGCATGTATTCATACATCTATATATCTATCCTATCTATTCATACATACAGGCAGAGAGTAAACTTTCCGGGGGGAGTATGCGATTTATGTTTGTAGTGATT